AAAAAGCGTTAAAGCGTAAAATACGCATAGAAAATCTAAAATACGCATCACTTTTAAAATTGGTGCGTCACAGTTACGCACAACAAAATGAAAATAACGCTCATATGTCAAAATTTATGCGTGAAAGAATAGAATTGTGTTTTTTGATATGTAAAAAGAAAATGTTTTGAGCATAAAAATACAATATATTTCCATTTTATTGCATTGAAAACTAAAAATTCTGTTGTCAACAACGCATGTTAAAAACGAAAGTAGCAGGAAATACAGAAGAGAGGTAACTCCCGTAGATCAACTTGTGAAATTATTGATGAAATGATAATCATCGTAGGAGTTAACACAGTATTATGTTTGTTTAGGCATCTATTGACATGCCTATGCCTCAATATAAACAAAAATATATTTTAATTTCTTCAACTTTTGTTGTTGGAACAAAATAACATGTTTTTCACCTGCAGTTTTGTACTCAATATTTTCGTACCCAGTCTACAGTTACGGACAATTTTCTCTCAGACCAATACTTTTTTTTAAGGAAAGATAAAAAAAAATCTTGATAATGTTTCTTTAATTCTAATTTCAACTATAATTGTTCAAACTGGAGTACATGATAAGGTACATGCCGACAGAAATAAAGAAAGAAAAATATTGACTCCTAGAAAATAAAATAATTTCAGGGCTTCCACTAGTGCAAGTTTGGAGACATTTATTCCTTCATTTTGGCCTGTGACTTCAAAACATCGATACTTTTCCTTCTGTAATTATATAATGTGCCTTCCAATATAAGAGATTTTGAAGTCTTTGACTTCCAAATTTTGAAAATGGAAGCCCTGATAATTTTGCTGTGTATCCTAAACTTGAGTTCCAGTATACTCTGGAAGTCTGACTTTACATGTCATGTTTTGTATTGTTTCACATTAAATCAGTATTTAATTTGTAAAGGTTTTTCTAAAAAAAAAGAAAATAAACAAACAAACAAACAAAACAATAAGTTTAATTTGTTTATAAAAAATGCAAAATGCTTTTTTGACAGATTTTACCCCTTAAGTTTTTCAGAATTTGCATTTTACCCCTCACTCTAAATTTTGAGGGGTAAAAACCCCTTGGCCAAAAAAATTATCTGGAGCTCTGCATAGATTGTAATATTTTTATGTTCAATCACAGTCATATATTACTATTTTACCAGTTAACACAACAATTAATTTTTCAATATATGCTTAATGTGTATTAATCATATAGTTTTATCACATTAATATTTCTCTTATAAATTATATTAATGTCAAGTTAATTTACTCACTCAAGTCTGTTGTTTAAATCCAGATATTTATCATGCCTTTAAAACGAAATTGAACTCAATGATGGTATCCCAGATAATAACTGTAGGGTTTCCTATCCAAACATTGATACAGCTGTTTCATTAGTCAGAGCTTGTGGTCAGTATTCGTACATGATGAAAGTAAACATCAACAATGCTTATCGTATTGTTCCTATACACCCAGATGATTTTGATACTTCTTGGATTCAAATAAATGATAGATATTATTACTTTACCTATGGGTCTGAGCTATTCTTGCGCATTGTTTGACAGGATCAGTTCTGATATTCAGTGAATTGCAGAAAACAAACTTGGTTTATATAATTGTGCACACATTCTAGATGATTTCTTTTTTGTTGGGGACAATTAACAACTGTGTGAAAAAGGTTAACAAATTTTCATTGCTGGTGTGCTTTAGTTGGTTTACCAATTAATCATGCTAAAACTTGTCGGCCATGCAGAATCATGTCTTTTGTTGGAATTGAATTGGACTCGGTACTAATGGAGAAAATATTGCCCCAAGAAAAATTTAATAAGATTCACCTAGCTCTTGACAAATTCAAGCATCGGGAAAAAGCAACTCTCCTTGAACTACAGTCTGTTATTGGTTTGTTTACTTTTGCTTGTGCTGTTATTGTTCCAGGCAGGGCATTTTTACGTCGTATCATTGATCTAACTATTGGTTTAAAGAAATCTCACCATCATAGACAGTTATCAAAAGATGCTAGAACAGATTTTCTGGCATGGTCATCGTTCATGTTAAAATTTAATGGCAAGTCGATGTTTCTACCTGACCTTTGAGTCACTTCTGTGTCATTAAATCTTTTCACAGATTCTAGTAATGTCAGATTTGGAGGGTACCTGTCAAACAAATGGTTTTCAGCCAGTTGGCCTAATGATTGGTTGAAATATCACATAACTGTACAAGAACTATTTCATATTGTTTAAGCTTGAAAGGACCGTGTTAGTTTCACATTTACTGCTGTCTATAGCACATTGTTACAAATGGGGACTTGTACAGTTGTGTGCTAAAGAATAAGACTGTGGAACATTGGAGCTGCCTCCACTGCAGCGCAACAAGGTTTTTTCAGAAGAAAAGATTGAACTTACAGGCATATGGTCATCTTGTGCATTTAAAAATATATAAGAATTCCTATGTTACAAGTGTAATTAATGGCAAATGGATAGCAGTCCTCTAACCAATGCATAATAAGTTTTTACATGCATTAATTGTAAGCAGCATTCACAAGATTTGTAAAAACAATTTGTTAACTTTGTTGTCATAAGGACAAGGGCCTTTGACATATAACCATAGTCATTCTGCTTTGATTACATTTTCTTTCAAATTAATATGATCTCAATGTACAACTTTGCACAAATAATGCAAATAATTTGTAAACATGTGTTTTTCTAGCATTACAACAGTCACTAAATTAAGTTATGTCATGGGGACAGGGACCTCTGACAGTAAGGTGTTTTCAAACAATATATATTTGTTAAACCATTGTGCCAATTTGAAGTACCTGGAGTTTGCTTTTTAACACTTTTTCTTTTTAATCTTTAATATCTTTGCATCAGAATGCACATAATCCAGACACTCACTTGTACGTTTGTGCCAATAATATGTTATATGTTCATATTACGATATTAGAATTTGTATATCTCTTGTTATGTACATAATGTTCAATTTTAAATTCATGATTATTCCTTTGTGTTAAGGTAAATTAAAACTTCATGTCTTAGGTTAAGATGCCAGCATGGTTATATTTTAATTTGTATCAATTTAAGATCTACTTGGATATTACACATATGGTGATATCAGTATACAGCTTTACTCTAAAAGGGTAATCTAAATAAAGACAACATTTATTTCAGTCACAAGTTTACTTTATGTCATGGGGACAAGGGCCTCTGACATACAAGGTGCCTTCTAACACCTACAGTCAATTAAATCCATAGTGCCAATAAAAATGTTGTTTCTTATATTAGGTAGTTTAGTTATCATCTTGTGATGTACATATTTTTAATATTCTTGTTTATTTCATTAGCATTGTTTCAAACATTTAAAGAATAATTTTGTTTGTCCCCTTTTACATGACTAGTCAATTTCATTAAAGAAGTTTTGGTTGGGGAATTGTGTTTTACACAATTTGTGGCAATATTCTTAGAACCCAACCTTTGATAATTTTTCGGGATATGTGTGTATATAATTTTATATACATTTTTCAGAAATGTTTGCTTGCTTTGTATACAATTTTATGTTATATTATAACTTTCATATCAGCATTGTTTTATATGTTTATATGTCATTTATTATTAAATGGCCATTTCACAATTTTATGTTAGTTTGATAACTTTCATATCAACATTGTATTATATGTTTTTCCGTCATTTATTATTAAATGGCCATTTCAATTTCAAAGTGTAGTTGTTATTCTTGAAAATTATCAAACAGAGAAAACTTCTTCAGGCAAAGATACAACAAATTGAAATGTTGACATAAAACTTAATTTATTGCAAAATAAATGTTTTTATGGTCACTTACAAGCTTGATGGTGGGTTCCATTAGGTCTTTAGTCATAGGTCGAAATATATTGGGTTCGAAAAAGCCGTACTAGTAAGTACACTAAGGTTATCGTTATGAGTAAGTACAATGTGATAATTGATGCGGATTAAGTCCGCCATTTTAGAAGAAGAAATAATTCATAACAATTTTCAATAACCCACCATCCCACCCACATTCAGTATTCAATTTTTGACAAGCTTATAAACATCAAAAAGTTTTTGTGTTTGTTTATAATTTTATATACAAATGATTTTTCTTTTCACTTCAAGATATGTGTGTATATTAATTTCATACACAGTTTTAGGCCAGGCAATATTCTTAGAACCCAACCTTTGATAATTTTTCGGGATATGTGTGTATATAATTTTATATACATTTTTCAGAAATGTTTGCTTGCTTTGTATACAATTTTATGTTATATTATAACTTTCATATCAGCATTGTTTTATATGTTTATATGTCATTTATTATTAAATGGCCATTTCACAATTTTATGTTAGTTTGATAACTTTCATATCAACATTGTATTATATGTTTTTCCGTCATTTATTATTAAATGGCCATTTCAATTTCAAAGTGTAGTTGTTATTCTTGAAAATTATCAAACAGAGAAAACTTCTTCAGGCAAAGATACAACAAATTGAAATGTTGACATAAAAGATCTAACAATAATCTGTCGGTGGGATTTAGTCTTGTCTTTACTTCGTGTTATTGTAACGTTTAAACTGATATATCAAAATTCCTGAATCATTAAGGTATCTCTCCGCCGTCCTCGTTGAAGTGTTTGTACGTGAACAACGTCACATTGTGGGAGTAGTAAATGTGACTATAGTCTACATTACCATCTTATTGTACAGGTGTAATCATTTAATACATTCAATCTCATCGATAAAGATCGGAAATACATTTATTTATCTAGTCGCTAAATGTGGTGAAATTTCACTAATTATGATGTAGAAATACCTAAACAGTGAAAGTGTGAACGGTTTAAAGTTTTTACAATTTATTATAGATCAATTTAACTAATTTGGATTAAGTGTTTGTCGATTACGCGTTGAGACTATCTTCATTTAATTAGATACATATAGTTATATTTGGTGTCTGTATGTATTTTGACTATGGTGGTGTTACGGGGTGGTTTAATCAAATGTGTTGTTGTCGGCGACGACAATGTTGGAAAGACCAGTATGCTTATGTGTTACGCCACAAACAGATTCCCATCACAGCACGTGCCAACTGTCTTTGATAACTATGCAGGTAATAGTCGTACATTGTTTATTATTTCATGTTATTTAAATTCTTGACGTGCTAATCTATCTCAACTGGTTTTTATTTCTAATCGAAATATGTACTTCCGCTTTAAGTTACAAAATAAATGATTATTCACCGTGTAAAACTGGTCAGTGAAAGGAAATGTGTTTTTCTTATTCTAATAAGTTTGCAGGTAGCTTCATTTTCCCGCCATTTTTGAATTATTTGTATGTCAAATTGAACGATTTTATTTATCATAATGTTGAGGTTAACATTTCTGCAATAAGTCGGTGAACCTTTTTCAATTTCAACATGAACCGACGTGAATAGTTGAGATTTAGATAAGAAAATTGTAGGATTACATTTAAGTCAAATTAATTCTTCAAAAATGATAGACGGCTTGTCAAGTCATAAAGTAATTGTTTATTATCTAATTATCATTTTACATAAATATGTGATACAAAATATGATTGTTGACAAATATTTCACCATGATGGATGGCTTTTGTTGGAAGTTATCAAAATATCAAAAAATGAAAATGCATAAATTTAAATAAAAATGAGAGCTAAATACAATAATGACTGACCTGAGCACCTGGCAATAAGATAGTTGAAAATGTCACATTGTTTACAAAAAATATTTAATAAATGGCTTTAATAACGCTATACATGTATAAGCTAACGTTTAGTAATATGTACGTGCGTACGTGTTAGTGTTTTCTTAACAGAGCTCTGTTGCAAAAACAACAACAACAACATCCCCGCTAAAAAAGCAAAGCAAAAAACAAAAACAAACTGAGTCATGGAAGGATTGCTTATAAAATGTATGCTAAACATCTCAAGACAAAAGTATAATGTGAACAAAATATTTGTTATTCCTCTTTTTCTCCATCTGATAGGAAAAATCATTGATTATATAAATTGTTTATTTGTTTTGAAGAGACTGTAACAATAACATTCTATATTAAGATCATAATATAAACAACAGCACGATACTGACCTAAATACATGTAAAAGTATGTTTATAAATTGTCACCGCAAGCATTATAAATGACATTATACCTATTAAATCGGCGTACAAATATGGGCGTTAAGATGTCGTCGCATTTTACAACGGAATTTCTTTGTTCCGTGTAACATTTATTTGTGAAAATTAAGTAAATTGAAAAAAATGCAACAATATTCTAAACAAAATTAAATGACATGTATATTTTTTTTTTGTTTGAAAATGCGTAAAGTAGCAACATTGTATTTATGATTTATGTAGATTTTGTAAAATTGTTAAGATTAAATGAATAATTATTGCGACACCTTTAAATAGCTCAAGACAATTGTAAAATTACTAGACTATCAAATTTTCGGTACGACACCAAACAAGTTATTTTAGTGAAACATTTGTTACTATATAAAGTAGCAAAATTGACCATGATTTTAACGGAGTATTACTGTTACATGACCGATAAAAGAAATACTCAGGCAAAATAATGACAAACATAATATTAAAGTTATTATGTACTCAAATCAGCTAAAATGAAATTTTTAAAGTCCCAGGATGAATTTCTGTATAAATTATATATATTTTGGGTTTAAAACACTGCAGATATTTTGAACGAAATTTAGAGGCCGACAGTCACCGAGTATGTGACTTGAACAAACCCTGAAAGTTTCAATTACAGACATTGTGAATATTGTATGATTGAAACAAATCTAAATCATTCATGTGACATATTCTTTAACGTTTCAAGAGTTCACTGTGACAATAATTGTGAAATCTTAACGCTCAAACATGACCCACGTACGTGGGTCATGTTTGGAAACAACCATTTTATTCTTTATAAGGAGAAAACTTTTGTTCCTGTGACAGCCTAGTATATTCAATTTGAGGATATTTACAGAATAATGAATGAACAATTCAAAACGAGAAATGAAAATTTTGCCTGTGTAGGCCAGCTGAATATTAGCACGTGCAAAACATCAACTTTGACGTCATCGTCTGGCAGATTCAAACTTTATAAACACACGATATTACTTAAACGCAAAAGAAAACAGTTTTATTTATTCTTCAATAAAAAGAAGCAACATTATGTCTGAATTTCAGAAGGGCTCCGATAAAGATATATTAACAACAGAAATATTAAAGTAATTGAAAATACCATTTAAACTATCAACATGTGTATTAAAGAGATAATTACATGTCAGAAACGGGTCAGTGTAACAGTAAATTTTGACCCAGTTGAAAAATGACCCAAGCGTCATTTTTCAACAGATTATTGATCAATTTTTAACATTGAAAATTGACCCCTACCTCTTAATAATATGACCAAACACATATTAAAAATTGACCCCTATTGAAAAAATTATCAGCTCTAGATAGGCAATATTGCGACGCTGAAAACTAATTCCTATAATATTGCGCAGTATGCCTATGGTCATACTAGAGATAAAATATGAAATTCTTTGTTGTTTTATAAACATTCACGTGCGCCACTTTCTATTAACATTTTTAATACTATTTGTCACGCAGTATAATTATACTGTTACATAAATAGAGATACTAGTATATCATATTACTTTATATGCTTTTCTATTGTCGTATGCTAAAATTAAATTTGATGTCTTCTCCTGCCACCACTAGCGGATTTAAGGTGTGTGTGTGTGTGGGGGGGGGGGGGGGTTGATGCACCGAGGGCGCGTCCCTACCGTACATTAACCTATAACAAATCTACTAGGACAGTGAACTTTTTGCCTTGCACAGATTTCGCACGCGCGCGAAAATGCATTGTAAAAAGGTCATTAAAGGTGGATATAGAAAATCAAATTTTATCTGTCCAAAACATATAACATGATGTCGTCCATTATTGTGATAGTATAGTTCAAAATAATTTAATAATATTGTATATAATTAATTAATAGATATTGAGCGGTGATTCAAGTGAATCATCCACGGACATACGACAGTCATTTTTATATATGTAGTATGTTTGTATCAAAGCAAAAGGTGAATAGTTCATTTGAGGTGACATAAAAGGTGATCTAATTTCATTGCTATTTTATATAAGATACCTTATCCTATTTGTCTTGACTTGTTATTTTTGTAACTCATTTCTATGGAAGCATAAACCTGCCCTTTTAACTTGTGTCTTATGACTTGCGACTTATGACTTGTGACTTTTGACTTCTGATTTGTGACTTACCTGTTTGACATAAATCGGCGCGTTTTCGAATGAAATATGGCAGACGAAAACGCTTAATATTCTAGAACAATTTTCCCATTTAATTGAGGCGTTTTATAACACAGTCTCTTCTATAATAGTATTTTATCATCTGGATAAGCTGCAATTTAAAGGCTGCTGAGCATCTCGTATTGTCGACAGTTGTCCTAACTTATTCAAAATGTAAGTGTTATACAAACCTCTCTCACGTGTTGATTCTCTTAAAATTTATTGTTTTAATGACGGTTGTGGAAGCTGTTCATATCCTGTAAGTTAAGATAGTATCTGATACATTCGAGGGTTGATGGATTTTTTAATTTTCAAATATATATTCACATTAATCAATTTGCTAGCTAGCGAATAGTGTCGCTCAGGGTAGCAGGCTGACTGAGTGGTTCACACAATTGACTTATGATAGGAGGATTTGCTGGCAGTCTAGGTTTAAATCCTGCTAGGTTTGTGCTAGCTGGTGCTTCACTGGGCAAACAAACTAAACAACCATTGCTGACGTTCCTATAAGAGATTCTAGAGAGTGTCTGTAAGCTCCAACCTTTCTGCAATATCATACTTAAATAAATTATGTTATGTATTATCCAAAGCAAACCCTTGACATGCGAAGATTGAAACAAACAAAAAAAAAATGAATAATTCATGTTAGATTTTTCTTTATACTATGCTAGAACATATAGTACCAGATATATTGTTGTTATTTGCACTTATCATCCTGACTGTTAACACTATTTTTTATATACTTTACAGATACTGACAGATACTGATATAGATGAACAGAAATAAAAATGAAGATTAGGCTCATACTATTAATGATTTTGGCACTTTTTTATGTGGTGATGTGTGTTGTACCAACCTATTTGCCAAAGCAAACTTTGAATCAGAGGTCCGAACTTATTATTGAATATTTCAAACTTGGTTTCAAATACACCGAGATTCTAGGATTTTTATTAAATAGACATAAAATTTTGTTGTCAATGCGGCAATTATATAGATTCCTAAAGAAGTTTAACCTAAAACGTCGGGATTACAACCCCACAGTTATTAATACCATTCACAAAGGGCAGAATACTTGTGGACAAACTATGGGTGATAGGTTTTTGTGGCAACGGCTTCAAATTAATCATAATGTGAAGACAACTCATCAGGAAGTTATGGAGGTAATGAAGCTTTTAGATCCTGAGGGCACTCATCTGATCTGAGAAGAACCTATCGTCTCAAAAGGCGTGTTTATTGTGCGAAAGGTCCCAACTGTATTTGGCATTAAGATGGTTATTGCAAGTTAAAACCCTTTGGATTTTGTATCCATGGTATTATTGATAGATTAAGTAAAAGACTGATCTGGCTAGAGGTATCGGATCCATACCTCATTCCAAATTATTTTTTTAAATTCCCTGAAGTCAATTGAAAAGGCACTTCGTATCATACGTTGTGATGCTAGAACAGAAAACTCTGATGTATACCTTTTACAACAGTTCTTTCGGTACAATGCAATTGACGCTTTTGCAAAACACAGAAGTGTTATAATTGGTAAAAGTACTTCCAATCAGCGAGTTGAACGTTGGTTAGGCTCTTTACGACAAGAAGATTTACAGTGGTGGCTCAGCTTTTTTAAAGACTTGCGTGATTCTTGACGATATGATAAACTCGACCCAGTCCACTCTGTTAATCTGAAATTTTGCTTCATGGATCTAATTCAAACACACCTTGATCGAATTGCTCAAAACTGGAATACTCACGCTATTAGACCCCAAAAGAATAACGAGCTCAATATGGAAAACCTGACGTAATGTTCTATTTACCCGAACTATTTGATAGTCAAGATTTCGGTACAAATGTTGATATACAAGACGTAATTTGTTGTCAACGGATGTATTCAATTCCGAAGAACAGAAATAAAGACTTTAAAGAATTGGCTAAACTCTTGAAACCGGATTTACAAATGGCACATGACGCTGAAACGGCATTGCAATTGTTTTTCGAGCTCAATAAATTGGTATGGTTAGCAGACAACCTGCGACTAAAACGACAATGCAACACGACTACACAGCTGTAAATATATAAATAGCTACTACAAATGTATGTAATTATGTCTCCACAACACAGTCAAACTGGGTTGAAATAGTTCGTCACCGCTTTGTTCTTTCTACATGGATGGAGGATTTTGAAATAATTTAGCACAAATGTTCACCATCATAAGCTTTGTCCCAGTATAAGACACATTTCCGCACTGAAGGTCAAAGTCACACTTAGAGGTTAAACGTCCACTTCTATATGAATGAGTGGGTTTTGAAATAACTTGGCACAAATGTCCACCATCACGAGACGAGGTGTCGCTATATACAGCCGCAACCCTGAGTTGAAGGTCAAGGTCACTTGGACAGATTATAACTAATCTGTTATAACTTCTTTATTATTTAAGCCAAAGCCTTGATGTCTTAACAAATTTCATTTGGACAAAAGCAGCCTTCTTTTGAAATGTCAACATTTGGTGTTGACCCATACTTGACATTGACCTTTATCATTAAAGGTTAGAGATGTGTCTGCATACCGGGTACATCTTCTTACGATGGTGAACGTTTGTGCCAAATTATTTCAAAATCCCTTTATCTAATGTACATAGATGATACTACTGAACCTATTCCGGTAACTACCGCTATATCGCACTAAGTGGTGCCGCAGGTACTTGCACCGAGCGGTCTGCCATCCAGTGGAGAAACCGGTACTCCTACAAGGCTAGGAAGATAAACAGAGACAGCCTTTTTCTGTGGAACATTAATATACTATCCTCATTGATAATCGACAGTGATTTCTTTTCTTTTTCGATCAATTATGATATCATTCTTATGTTGATATATACAACTTTTGTTAATGTCCGCACCTCAAATTCAATAAAATGGCTAAACGTCATAGTAGTAGCGTACTTATATATACACTTGTACATGTATTCGCAATAAATATTTCAATCATGACAATAATGAGCTTGGTGTTTTGGATTAATCACAAGAAACTCAAAACTGGAACAGTCAATGACATTTGTGTTTTGCATATAAAAATACGAGAATTGCAGATATGGCTTATTCCGAGGGATCACTTTGTTTCGAGATTTTTATTACCATGGCGCGCCCACGTATGCTGTTGTAAAATTGTTGATGTAATCTATTAAAAAATATATACATGTAATTGGAAATTCATCAATCAATGTGTCCGACCAAATTTGACAGACAAGTCCCAATCCAAACAACATACATAATTTCTAGTTTATCTTACAACATGACGATGACTTTAGGTCAACTGACAAGTTTAATTATAAATGTATGTCTAGAACAAAGTTCGCCCGTGCCTGCTCCTGTTTCATTTACAAAAGTACAAAGTATCCGAGTGTCTTTAAATTGTTTTCAAACAGATAACATCAACAATATTAAAACAGCAGATGATGATGCGACATGGTAAGTAATGCCTGCCACACATATTTTAAAGTAACAAAGTCAATGGTGAGTGTCACAGTACCGAACCAAAGTGTGTATATATATATTAGAAAGTTTGAATGCTTAAGATCAAAGCACTTAGATTATATGACCATTTAAAGTCTTTGCACTTGTTGGTCATGGTTACCACAATGTGACCTTTTGACCATTAACAGAATAATGGATGTGGTATGTAGAACTCATGAAGGTGCATTTACATATAAAGTTTGAAGGTCCAAGGTCAATGGGTCAATGTCACACTTAGAGGTCAAAGGTCACATTGTGGTGTAACGTTTCGTGTCTCGAATATAAGTCATTCACTGATGATTGGATTTTCATATAACCTGGCAAAAATGTTCACTTCTACCAGATGTATTGACATCACACAGATTCCTTCGCTTCAAGGTCAATGTCACACTTAGAGGTCAAAGGTCACATTTTTGTAAAACATTTTGTTTAAGGAGTAAATGATGATGGGATGTTCAAAAAACCTAGCCAAATTTCCAATATATATAGAAATTGTGCTGCACGCCCAGGTCCCTCTTTCTATGGCAAAGGTCTCAGATGCCAATTCATGAATTGTCAAATTGTGGTGCATTTTGTGTCATGTTGGCACGTTGGCACGGCATCATTGGCAGTAGTATGTCTCACATTGGCATGCAACTTCCTCAATGAGGTACATGCAAAGGTGTTTTTGGTTGCAAAGAAAAAGACCTCAAAGATTTCACTTTTATTTCTGAAACTTATTGTTTCATTTTTTTAAACTATAGAGGGAACACATAAACAAAGCAAGAAATGTTCGAAAATTATTGCCACATGACCATTTTCTGGAAAACCAATAAAGATATTATAAAGATTTGTTTTGCACATTAAAGAAAGTTCTTTCAGTTGAAGACTACGTATTTTTTCTTTCTTAAATCTTGCAGATAACCATCTGTTTTTTTGCCCAGTATATAAACCATACCTTCTACTGATATGAATTGCTGATATGCATCGTGCATTGATTTACGCAACATTATATGGTTGTAAAGCACGAAGATAAATGACTAGCAAATGCAATAAAACAACTTTTTATAACATCTCATTCTCTAATAGTTTTCCAGAAAAAAGTCGAGTTACAACACTTTTCGAACTACCCTCGTTTTATTGGCCCTTACAACGACCCATACAACTACACCTCCCTTCTTTCCAAAATAAGGACATATACCATTGTCTCTCCTCTTTACTAAGATTTTGCTGATATTTACTTTATTTCACTATCAACATAAAATCCAAAAAGTTGTTCAATTATTATTAAACTACATACGATGACCAAACAATGACAAACAAGAACGATAACAAATTGAATTACGGTGCATAGCATAAGCTTATGTTACTACATGTAAAATAAGTGTTGTTTTAAATAAGTTGTATGCAGTGTGTACGTTTGAAGAAAAACTACACACCCAAATCTTAATTACATGAATATCTATAACTTGGAATGCACATTGTGAAGAAATTTAGTAGTTTACATAAATCTGAATCTGTTTAGCACTCTCATAGGTACTTTTTAGGATAGATGATCAGACGCACTGTCACAACATTTAAATTAAACAAACGCAATCTATAACAAATCGAGAAAAGTACTTAAAACGTAGATTATATTAAAATTAACTGATACAATTCAATGAACAAAAATATTCTATGTAAAAACTCGTTGTCTGCCATATTTCATTCAAAATACGCCGAATTATCATGTTCAACAGACAAGTCAAAAGTCACAAGTCAAAAGTCATAAGTCACAAGTCACAAGTCAAAAGTCATAAGACACAAGTAAAAATGGCAGGTTTATGCTTCCATACATTTCGGTTTAAGTGTAAGCTATATATTTGTATATATAAATGACATTGTATATAGTCAATATATATGTAAAGACGATATAGTATGTATAAGCCTAAGGCAATCAAAATCACGCATAATTTGTTTCTTTATTATTCCACAATATAAAACAAAATGATATATTAATAATGTTTTCATAAGAGAGAAAAAGAGCGGGAATCAAATTATATAAATATTTAAGTGATCCAGGACTACTTGTCAATAGCATTTCCCAAGAACTTCTACACTAAAATAACACACTATTTAATAAATTGAGATATGTTGTACAGTATTAAGATTGATTCTATGATCATAAAAATTATTATGTTTCAGGTTCTGTTATTTTATCCGACAAACAGTACACTTTACAGATGATAGACACAACCGAACAGGTACCTGTTTTTTTTCTTCCGGTGCTTAAACACTTTTTGGTCATATCCCGAACGTCGGTGCATTTTACCGGTTTTCGTGGATAACTAACCAGTAATTACCATTTTCTCCGCAAGTAACTGACCATTATTCCTCCGTGGTGTCTAAATCAGTAGTAAGAGACAAATAACTGTAAGACCCAATGTACGAGAATATTTCTCTCCTCGTCCGAGGATCGCACCATTGACTCCTGTATAGAAATATATCTTAGTACTGATCGTTGTCAATCTATATAAACATAAAAGAAATAAATTTAGTGAAATAAGAATATGAAATAAGAATTAATGAAATTCGTTTGTAAGATTTTTTTTATTTTAGAGATATTAATTTGTTGTTACCGAGATATATCCTAGCCTTAACCCCAGACCGGGAAAACTTTTTTGTTTGTATTATGAATCATAATGGGAAGTAGATAAATACCACAACCGGAAATGGTCGGATATTGTTGAATAGTTAACACATGTAATTTAATATCTTGTTTGAAGTCATTATATACGAACCAAATGTATATTTATATCTGGGTTAACAGATTCTGATATAATAGTTATAAATATATATGAAATTAGATCAGGGTGACATATAAACTACTTACTCTCAGATTTGATGTACACGTATCTTATACATTGTATTTGGATAAAATACCGTTGGGAGATTTTATAATTGACAACTTAGTAAACAGCGGTGATATACTACATCTTTATTTTTTTAATACCACACAATACAACAGCATAAATGTACATATATACATAAAGTATGCACATTGATTAAGCTATCGGTCATTAAGATAAATGTACATAAAGACATATAGTGTGCACATTGATTTCGTACATGAATACATATAGTGTGCACATTCAATTAATACATAAAGACATATAGTGTGCACATTGATTTCGTTCATGAATACATATAGTGTGCACATTGATTTAGAACATAAATACATATAGTGTGCACATTGATTTCGTTCATGAATACATATAATATGCACATTACTTTAGTTATTGATTATTAAGAAAAACGTACATGAATACATATAGTGTGCACATTGATTTCGTACATGAATACATATAGTGTGCACATTCAATTAATACATAAAGACATATAGTGTGCACATTGATTTCGTACATGAATACATATAATATGCACATTACTTTAGTTATTGATTATTAAGAAAAACGTACATGAATACATATAGTGTGCACATTGATTTCGTTCATGAATACATATAGTGTGCACATTGATTTCGTACATGAATACATATAGTGTGCACATTGATTTCGTACATGAATACATATAGTGTGCACATTGATTTCGTTCATGAATACATATAGTGTGCACATTGATTTCGTTCATGAATACATATAGTGTGCACATTGATTTCGTTCATGAATACATATAGTGTGCACATTGATTTCGTTCATGAATACATATAGTGTGCACATTGATTTCGTTCATGAATACATAAAGTATGCACATTGATTTCGTACATGAATACATATAGTGTGCACATTGATTTCGTACATGAATACATATAGTGTGCACATTGATTTCGTTCATGAATACATATAGTGTGCACATTGATTTCGTTCATGAATACATATAGTGTGCACATTGATTTCGTTCATGAATACATATAGTGTGCACATTGATTTCGTTCATGAATACATATAGTGTGCACATTGATTTCGTTCATGAATACATAAAGTATGCACATTGATTTCGTACATGAATACATATAGTGTGCACATTGATTTCGTACATGAATACATATAGTGTGCACATTGATTTCGTTCATGAATACATATAGTGTGCACATTGATTTCGTTCATGAATACATATAGTGTGCACATTGAATTAATACATAAATACATATAGTGTGCACATTGATTTCGTACATGAATACATATAGTGTGCACATTGATTTCGTACATGAATACATATAGTGTGCACATTGATTTCGTTCATGAATACATATAGTGTGCACATTGATTTCGTACATGAATACATATAGTGTGCACATTGATTTTGTACATGAATACATATAGTGTGCGCATTGATTTCGTACATGAATACATATAGTGTGCACATTGATTCAACAATTAATACATATAATATACACATTGATTTAGATATTGATTATTAAGAAAAATGTACATGAATACATATAGTGTGCACATTGATTTCGTTCATGAATACATATAGTGTGCACATTGATTTAATACATTAATACATATAATATGCACATTGCTTTAGATATTGATTATTAAGAAAAATGTACATGAATACATATAGTGTGCACATTGATTTCGTTCATGAATACATATAGTGTGCACATTGATTTCGTACATGAATACATATAGTGTGCACATTGATTTCGTTCATGAATACATATAGTGTGCACATTGATTTCGTTCATGAATACATATAGTGTGCACATTGATTTCGTACATGAATACATATAGTGTGCACATTGAATTAATACATGAATACATATAGTGTGCACATTGATTTCGTACATGAATACATATAGTGTGCACATTGAATTAATACATGAATACATATAGTGTGCACATTGATTTCGTACATGAATACATATAGTGTGCACATTGATTTAATACATTAATACATATAATGTGCACATTGCTTTAGATATTGATTATTAAGAAAAATGTACATGAATACATATAGTGTGCACATTGATTTCGTTCATGAATACATATAGTGTGCACATTGATTTCGTACATGAATACATATAGTGTGCACATTGATTTCGTACATGAATACATATAGTGTGCACATTGATTTCGTTCATGAATAAATAAAGTGTGCACATTGATTTAGAACATAAATACATATAGTGTGCATATACAACATGTATAAAATCGCTGATAATATGTTATCTAATTAATGCAGTAAACATTTCATTTTAAAATGGCATACCAAACTTATCTATATTAATCAAATATTTATATATGAACTTATAAAATATCATTTTCCAGTGATTGTAACGATATAAATTTCTTACAGGGTGACAGCGAGGAGGCCAGACGACATAGTTACTTTGGTGCTGATGTTTTTATTGTTTGTTTTTCTGTTGTGAAACCAGAAACTTTCACAAATGCTAAGTGCCGATGGATTCCAGAAGTTCGGAATTTGATGGGAGAAACACCAATCATATTGGTAGGAACTCAAACAGATTTGAGAGACGATGAAACTATTGTGAACAAACTAAAAGCACAAGGGAATAAGCCAGTTAGTGAGCGCGATGCAATCAATGTTTGCCGGCGTGTCGGGGTGGCTTGTTACTTGGAAAGCTCACCTTTGATGAAGAAAAAAATGAAACGTGTGGTGAATGACGCGTTTGTTTCGGTGTTTAGTTTTAAAGATAACCAGCACAATCATGGATGTATAATAATTTAATATTTTATTTGTGAATAAATCTTCCCTCATATTGAGGCACCAAATCGACAATGTTAATCACCAGTAAATTATTTTACTGTACGCAGTCTTGTGCCACCAATAACTTCAGCGGATTGCTATAACAAAATAACTGTATTGTAAGTTTGTAACTGATGAAATTTTCTCATATTTGAGATAGTACAGAAAACGAATATTTCACAGGTCAAACCTGATAAAATGAATCCCTGTTGTGAAACGAAATCCTTCAAAAGACGAACAATTTACAGGGTGATCTGTCATCTTGGTATTATAGTACATGTTGTACTGATTAATAGAATCACACCCTGTGGCTTTCTCCCAGCACCCTGATAGTTCTAACTGACTTAATCATAAAACAATATGAGTAAAATTCTGAGCTCTATGCATTTCCGAATGATAATGGTCATACATCTTAAAACATAACATAATAATATTCTTTATAAAAAGGGAAATAGAAAATAAAGTTAATAACAATATGTTTATAACAATCGAAAAATGCCATTTTAACTTCAGTCTTTGTTATCGTGTATTGTTTGTGTAATAATGCAAACACTTCATTTAAATACATTTGTTAAAATCAGTGTATATTATACATGTACTGTATATGCTCTATCGATCCTTGTAAATAGAGATGTTATAAGTTATTAAATATGATATATAATGCGTTGTTCATGTTGGTTTTCAGTATACTAGTATTCATAATGTGATGTAAAGATTTTTCCCACTGATTATTTGTCAATTGTTTTGAAACTGGATTTATATCGATTCTAAAAATATCTTTAGGAATTATACAATTTAAATCATACATCTTAAATTATACAATTAATTAATAATACATGACGTGATTGAACAGGCTGCAATGTGCAGTAGTAGACCGCAATGTGTGGTAATGGTAGTAGGCCGTAATGTGTGATAGTAGCCCTCAATGTGTGGTAGTAGGCGGCAATGTGTGATATGAGGCCGCAATGTGTGGTAGTAGGCGGAAATGTGTGGTAGTTGCCCTCAATTTGTGGTAGTAGGCGGCAATGTGTGATATGAGGCCGCAATGTGTGGTAGTAGCCCTCAATGTGTGGTAGTAGGCGGCAATGTGTGATATGAGGCCGCAATGTGTGGTAGTAGGCGACAATGTCTGGTAGTTGCCCTCAATTTGTGGAAGTAGGCGGCAATGTGTGATATGAGGCCGCAATGTGTGGTAGTATGCGGAAATGTGTGGTAGTTTCCCTCAATGTGTGGTAGTAGGCGGCAATGTGTGGTAGTAGGCGGAAATGTGTGGTAGTTGCCATCAATTTGTAGTAGTAGGCGGCAATGTGTGATATGAGGCTGCAATGTGTGGTAGTAGCCCTCAATGTGTGGTAGTAGGCTGCAATGTGTGATAGTAGCCCTCAATGTGTGGTAGTAGGCGGCAATGTGTGATATGAGGCCGCAATGTGTGGTAGTAGGCGGAAATGTGTGGTAGTTGCCCTCAATTTGTGGTAGTAGGCGGCAATGTGTGATATGAGGCCGCAATGTGTGGTAGTAGCCCTCAATGTGTGGTAGTAGGCGGCAATGTGTGATATGAGGCTGCAATGTGTGGCGGCAATGTGTGGTGTTAGGCGACAATGTCTGGTAGTAGCCCTCAAAATGTGGAAGTAGGCGGCAATGTGTGATATGAGGCCGCAATGTGTGGTAGTAGGCGGCAATGTGTGGTAGTAGCCCTCAATTTGTGGTAGTAGGCGGCAATGTGTGATATGAGGCGGCAATATGTGGTAGTAGGCGGAAATGTGTGGTAGAAGGTCGCGATGTGTCATAGTAGGCGGCAATGTGTGGTAGTAGTTTAAACATAGTTTATTTCAAACAATGATACACCATGTTGTTAATACATTTACAATAAGTAGTAAGGATTAGAGCCGAAAGCTATAAAGCTTATAAAGGTCGTCTCCCATATATATTTGTACTATGCAGTTAAATTATGACATATTAACATATTTTAACATATTTGGAACGAAAAAAATCGAAGATTAAGCAAGTGAAACTAACTATTGTTCAAACGATATTGTTTTAAGAATATCAATAATTAAATAGAATTACAAAGAAGGTAAAGAAGATTCATTCGGATAGATCAAGTTTGCAACTGATTATGTGAAACTAAATTCATGGAAATCGGTAACTTTCTCGTATATACATGAACTGCTTGAACTATTTTAGAATTAATATCATGGCTCCGTTTAGTAAGGTATGAAGTGTTATAGTACAGAGGTTAGAAACAGCATTAAATAGTCTGAGTCTGATATAATTATAGAAGTGACGCTCAAAGAAGAAGTGGTGGTTACTTTCATGGAGTCCACATTGACAATTTGGTGAGGGGGACATATTTTTTCTGAATAACTGATGGATAAGAGAGCTACATTTTGTTTGGAGCCGTGTGTGCATGACTTGCCATTTTCTTTCACCTATGTAATAATATTTAGAGCATTTTTTACATTACCTTTAAGTTGCGTTTTATAAGGAGGACAAATACATTGAGTTTTGTACTTCTCTTCAGAGTATGACAGAAGGCCGTTATGTATGGTAGTAGGCCGCAATGTGTGGTAGTAGGCCGCTATGTGTGGTAATAGGCCGCTATGTATGAAAGTAGGCTGAAATGTGTGATAGCGGTAGAAGGCCGCAATGTGTGATAGTAGGCCGCAATGTATGATAGAAAGCCGCAATGTGTGGTAGTAGGCCGCTTTGTGTGGTTGAAGTATGTAGTGACAGGTTGAAGTATGTAGTGCGAGGTGGAAGTATGTAGTGGCAGTCGGAAGTATGTAGTGGCAGTCGGAAGTATGTAGTGGTAGGTTGAAGTATGTAGTGGTAGGTTGAAGTATGTAGTGGTAGGTTGAAGTATGTAGTGGTAGGTTGAAGTTTGTAGTGGCAGGTGGAAGTATGTAGTAGTAGGTTGAAGTTTGTAGTGACAGTTTGAAGTATGTAGTGGCAGTCGAAGTATGTAGTGGTAGGTTGAAGTTTGTAGTGGCAGTTTGAAGTATGTAGTGTGGCAGGTGAAGTATGTAGTGGTAGTTGAAGTTTGTAGTGGTAGGTTAAGTTTGTAGTGGTAGGTTGAAGTTTGTAGTGGTAGGTTGAAGTTTGTAGTGGTAGGTTTGAAGTTTGTAGTGGTAGGTTGAAGTTTGTAGTGACTGTTTGAAGTATGTAGTGGCAGGTGGAAGTATGTAGTAGTAGGTTGAAGTTTGTAGTGACAGTTTGAAGTATGTAGTGGCAGTTTGAAGTATGTAGTGGCACGTGGAAGTATGTAGTGGTAGGTTGAAGTATGTAGTGGTAGGTTGAAGTTTGTAGTGGCAGGTGGAAGTATGTAGTGGTAGGTTGAAGTTTTGTAGTGGTAGGTTGAAGTTTGTAGTGGTAGGTTTGAAGTTTGTAGTGACTGTTTGAAGTATGTAGTGGCAGGTGGAAGTATGTAGTAGTAGGTTGAAGTTTGTAGTGAACAGTTTGATAGTATGTAGTGGCAGTCGGAAGTATGTAGTGGTAGGTTGAAGTTTGTAGTGGCAGGTGGAAGTATGTAGTAGTAGGTTGAAGTTTGTAGTGGCGGTTTGAAGTATGTAGTGGCAGTCGAAGTATGTAGTGGTAGGTTGAAGTTTGTAGTGGCAGGTGGAAGTATGTAGTAGTAGGTTGAAGTTTGTAGTGACAGTTTGAAGTATGTAGTGGCAGTCGGAAGTATGTAGTGGTAGGTTGAAGTTTGTAGTGACTGTTTGAAGTATGTAGTGGTAGGTTGAAGTTTGTAGTGACAGTTTGAAGTATGTAGTGGCAGGTGGAAGTATGTAGTAGTAGGTTGAAGTTTGTAGTGACAGTTTGAAGTATGTAGTGGCAGTCGGAAGTATGTAGTGACAGGTTGAAGTTTGTAGTGGCAGTTTGAAGTATGTAGTGGTAGGTTGAAGTTTGTAGTGACAGTTTGAAGTATGTAGTGGTAGGTTGAAGTTTGTAGTGACAGTTTGAAGTATGTAGTGGCAGTTTGAAGTATGTAGTGGCACGTGGAAGTATGTAGTGGTAGGTTGAGGTATGTAGTGGTAGGCTGAAGTTTGTAGTGGCAGGTGGAAGTATGTAGTGCAGTTTGAAGTATGTAGTGGCAGTCGGAAGTATGTAGTGGTAGGTTGAAGTTTGTAGTGCAAGGTGGAAGTATGTAGTGGTAGGTTGAAGTTTGTAGTGACGATGTTTAAAGTATGTATAGTAGGTTGAAGTTTGTAGTGACTGTTGAAAGTATGTAGTGGCAGACGGAAGTATGTAGTTGGCAGTTTGAAGTATGTAGTGGCAGTCGAAGTATGTAGTGGTAGTTGAAGTTTGTAGTGGCAGGTGGAAAGTATGTAGTGGTAGGGTTGAAGTTTGTAGTGACAGTTTGAAGTATGTAGTGCAGTCGGAAGTATGTAGTGGTAGGTTGAAGTTTGTAGTGACAGTTTGAAGTATGTAGTGGCAGTTTTGAAGTATGTAGTGGCACGTGGAAGTATGTAGTGGTAGGTTGAAGTATGTAGTGGTAGGTTGAAGTTTTGTAGTGGCAGGTGGAAGTATGTAGTGGTAGGTTGAAGTTTGTAGTGGTAGGTTGAAGTTTGTAGTGGTAGGTTGAAGTTTGTAGTGACTGTTTTGAAGTATGTAGTGGCAGGTGGAAGTATGTAGTAGTAGGTTGAAGTTTGTAGTGACAGTTTGAAGTATGTAGTGGCAGTCGGAAGTAATGTAGTGGTAGGTTGAAGTTTGTAGTGGCAGGTGGAAGTATGTAGTAGTAGGTTGAAGTTTGGTAGTGGGCTAGTTTAAAGTATGTAGTGGCAGTAACGGAAGTATGTAGTGGTAGGTTGAAGTTTGTAGTGGCAGGTGGAAGTATGTAGTAGTAGGTTGAAGTTTGTAGTGACAGTTTGAAGTATGTAGTGGCAGTCGGAAGTATGTAGTGACAGTTTGAAGTATGTAGTGTGGCTGTTGGAATAAGTATGTAGTAGTAGGTTGAAGTTTGTAGTGACTGTTT